CTTCCTTCCCCTCCCTCCCTCCCCCTCCTCCCTACCCCCCTCCCTCCCATCTTGCTTCCTTCAAGCCTCGTTCACTGGTTGAGGGCAGGACGCAGCAAAGTGGGGAGAAGGTGGCGATTTCAAGGTCAGACGCCATCATGTGGCACAGGTAACTACCACTAGTTCCTCTTGTTGCGATCGTGACGCCATGGCAGGTGTTGTGTCTTCTCCCCACTGGGGGACGGCAGTTTGTTCTGTCCGATGTAATGAAATAGGATCTCCGTCCCTGTGTGGAGGGACGAGGGTACACAGGGGTAGATGGGGAAGGATTCATTCAGCTACCATCGTCGTTCTCCTCTTAGTCAAACTTGACGGCTCCGTCGTCTCTTGCCTTCAGGAGCAGCTTTGTGTGGAAGGGTGTCAGGTCCTCTGCTCCCTTCCCTTGCCGGGCCCTGGTGATGTCCAGCCAGAACTTGTTTCGCCACGAGAACTCCTTGAGTGCAGTGGGAAAGTGAGCGACAGAACGAGCGTAGGCGCACAGGCGCTCCGGCACTCCATCCTTGAACTTGATCCCTCGCTCTACCTCCAGGCACTTCTTCATCTCCTCGACCATCTTGAACACGTCCTCCTTGTGCTTGCTCTCCACCTCTCCCACCGTGATCCCGCCATGGTGTACTCCAAGGAGCATGAACGTGCAGATCCACATGTGCTTCTCGAACATGCATGCCCTGAACTCGTCCTCGTTGAGCACATTGCACGTCAGTCCTGATCCCCGGAGCCTCGCTGCAACCTGCTCCGCCCACTTGCCTGTCGCTGCCGTCAACCCCTCAGGGTTCAGGTCGGTGATCCCGTCGGTGGGCTTGTCGCCCAACTTGGCGACTGCCATGTACACAAGCACCTTGGTCGAGTCGTCGAAGACCTTCTCTTCCTTCAAGAAATCCTCGATGTAACCATTCTGACCATAGAACACCAAGTCGCCCTTTCTGCTGGGCGGGCAGGCCGAAATTACACCTTTCAAATCATCATTCCTGGTCGTCACGTAGATTGGGCCGCTGCCTTCAGCAGGGATCTTCTCTCCTCGTCTGACCACAACGTCGTCAAACCCCGATGCCTTCCCCATCTCCTTCAAAGCCGTTCCAATCCTCCCTGCCCCGATGATGGTGCAAGCACAGTCTCCGCTGGACGCCATTCTGAGAGATTGGGATCCTCCAAGAACCTCACAGCTTGTCCTCCTGAGGGGTGACAGACCAGCTGCGAGCATGCTAGAAGATCTTGCGGCCTTTGCCATGAAACTTCCAGGCATGGAGGGCGCGAATGCCATCGAGGCGCTCAACGATCCGAGCAAGAGCAGTGCCTGCATGGCTAGGTTCGTGCCTTGATCTTTTCGGCAGGGTTACTGGACATGCATTGATTTGTATATAAAGCTGTAAAAGCATGAAATATGTGAGGCAGAATTGCCAAATTTCCGAGAGGAAGTCACAAAATAGTTCTAAAGAATTGAACTTGAGGAAAATTACTTCCAAGGATTCTGGAAGGATCTAACTTGCGAATCCCCCTCAGATTTTTAGAAGACAGTGATAATATATATAGAAGACTTTTTTCTGTCTTTTATTCCGAGGCGGACATGTTTCACACCTTGTTTAAGTGGGTGATGAGGGGATGAGGGTCTAAGAGTTGGTGGGATGCATGGCGGGAGCGTAGTGCCGCTTGAGGACGACTCGATGATGGCGAGGTGAGCGAACATGGCGGATGCTGCATGCGGAGAGAGAAGACAGTAGGAGCAGGAGACAGCGCCTTCCTCTTTATGACGAGGTCACGAGAGAGGTGGGGGCAAACCAGGCAGAAAGTCGCAGATTGGATCTGGAGGAAACAGGTTCTTGACACTAGGGATATGCAGGTATTACAGATCTCCTCTGGTGACCAGAGCAGTGTGTACCCTTACAGTGTGGCTGTGGCTGGTAGATGTCATTCTCCTTCCGGTGAGTGCAATGGATTCTACACAAAGAGTGCGACTGACAGGGGTGACGAACCAAGGGTCTGTCATTGAAGCTCGCCACTTGTCCTGGAGCAATCCTCTACCTACAGGTAGCTTTGCTGCAATTTCGCTCTTCTCACCCTCGTGCTTAGCTCTGGCGATGGTTCACCTCTCCATTTGTTGAGCAAGGCATTTTCGGGGTGCTGATTGGGTGCCTAGTGTTTGGGGGTATCGGAAGCCAATTCGAGGTGAGGAGTGTTTTCTGTTCCGATGGGGCTGCTTGACATGTGTTCATGTACAGCGAATGTTTGGAACTCTTGCGTTTGGGTACTTGTTCATGGTTATCAATGTTTCAGCGAATATTTTGTTCACCTTCGCTGCACTCTTCTTTGCACCAATCCTGCCTGAAATGCATCTTTTATCACCTCTGAACTGTGCCAACGGTAAGCTCTTCACGAATCATCTGCATGCTGAACATGTGTGATATGTGCAGGTCTATGGGTATCGGTATTGGCGTTTCTTGTGATTCATACACAGAGGTCTCCACACCCTTTCATGTCATTTTGGGGTCTTTGCAACATTCCAACGAAATTTTATCCTTGGTTCCTTCTTATTTTGTTCGCTCTGCTTGGAGCAAGCGTACTGGTGTGTCACAGGATGATATGGAAAATTCCACTTGATAACCCTCTACAGGAAAATTTGTGCGGGATCCTGGTCGGATACGCCTTCCAATTTGGCTACCTGGAGCGTGTCATGCCCTCAGAACAGAAATTCTCATCGTGGGAAACTTCGAGGTACTTCACATGGATTACAAGTTCACCGTGAGTGCTGCTAGCTCTGAGTTGATGAGATGCTTACTTCACACTTTGATATTATCAGGGGGCATTTGACTTGGACAGGGGCTCTCGTTTCCTACCCCACCGACGGCGGGGGGGGGCTTGGCAATTGGATGTCGTCATCTACTGGACAGTCTCAATCCTCGACCGGTGGGTCACTCCCTTTACATCATGTCACTCAAGTTGCACTCAAGGGAATGTGATGAGCGGAGGGGTCATCCGTCAAGGCCAACAAGATCAGCATCGCGCAGCCGCGTCGAACGTGCTGTATCCTCCGTGGTTTCGCAAAGGACTCAATGCCTTTCGCAGCCCGGAACTTCTTCCTTCTCAGCCTTCCAGGGCTCTGGCCATTCGCTAGGTGAGGGGAACATCTGCAGTCGGCCGAAGTTTGATGGGACTGAAGGGTCTACCGCACCGCAACCTGGCGGGTGGTTTGGGGGAGCGACCAGCAGCTCAGAGCCAACCTCAGGTGTAGCATCTCTCAGTCTGCGTTGAAAGCTGTTGATGCGTGGTTGACAGCATCAGGAAGGCCCCTTGGCAGACTCCTGCAGAGTTTGGGGGCGGGCGGCGACGGAAGGGGAGGATACTCTCAAGTACCCAGGGAAGAGGGCCTCGCCCCGAGTGAAGCGCCGAGCAGCATGCCGCCGGTGCTGCAGCGTCTGTTTGATGGTTCTGTTGTCTGGCTAACGTCGATGACAGAGAGTGGACCCGGAGACGATGGAGGATAACTTGATCAGGTTGTGTGAGATGGGATTTGACCGGGCAAAGGTGAGTGCGAGAGCCATCGGGACGACAGTGGAGCGACTGAGTGCGGACTTGGCTTCTGCAGGCTCAGAGGGCGCTGGAAGAGCACCACGGAAACCTTGAGGCAGCAGCGGCATCACTCACACAGTGAGTCTATGGCTAATAAAGCCAATAGTATGCCCCGGAACACCGCGGCAACTTGCCTTTTATGTAAGCTAGAATTATCAAATCCTCAAGTAAATATCAGCATGCAATTCTTCTGAGTCTCCGGTGACTTCCTGACGGATCACATGGTTCATATATTAGAGCCCAGACCTCCATTACGACTATTCGCAATCAGATCACCGATGGCCGCGACCAGAGGAAGCATCCTCGGGGTGGGAAATACCCCTGGTTATCTGTATATTTGCATGGGCCTCTCTCTCTCCTCTCTCTTCCCTTCTCTCCTCTCTCTTTCACTTTCTTCTCTTTCTCTCTTACTTTCTCTTTCTTCTGCTTTACTAAAAAGTTACTCTTCTCACTCTCCTCTCTTACTCATGACCCCTTACTCTACTTCATAAATACTCTTATCTCAGAAGTCAATCACCTACCTGCTCTTACTTCGCTACAGCATACGGTTCATCGGTTATGAGCCCACCACAACGGCGTTTCCCGGGCCCCTCTCAGTGCCGGAGGCCTGGCCGGAGGCTCTCTCAGTGCGCTCAGTGCGGCCCGTGTGGTGAGCGGGGATGAGGTCCATGGCTTTTGGAGCCGTCGGGCGAGCGATGGAAGTTGTAGAGAGGCGATGAGGAGGATGAAGATGGCGAGAGAGATGATAGATGATGATGGATATGGTCGCTAACTGTGTTGTTGCATGTGTGGGACACCGTGCTTTCTAGGATTCAGACTGTATGTTGCGGTCTATGCCATTCACAAGCTGTGAAAAGTGCTGTTAGGTGCAAGGTGATGAAGGCAGTGCGATGTGCGACTCAACCGGTCATGCCGCATTATGAGAGATACGAGGGCAGAGACTGGGTAGTGCAAGGATGTTGAATGGAGGAGCAGTGAGGACGAGAAACTAATACGGCGGCACTGCAAACTTTGGATAGTTTTCCTCTTCACAAACTAAGAGGAGCCTGAATGATGGTTTGCAGGACGGTCGGCCTTCGAGCGACAACCAACAAGAGATGAGAGCAGCTCCTTGAACCTCGAGGAAGGGAACCAATGAAGTCCCTCCTCCAGAAATTCCGAAAGGAGGAGAAGGAGCAGCCGCTGGGCGAGTGCGGAGTGGGGATCGTGTTTGCCCCAGGGCCAGACAAGGGGTTGTATGTCCGTGAGATCGCAGAGGGAGGCCCAGCCTGGAGGGCAAACGAGGGGTACAGCGGCCCGATCAATGGCAGGGAGAGCGTCGTCAGGGTCGGCGATTGCCTTCTTGATGTACAGGTGAAGCTCGTTTGTGAAGACTTTGGGTTGTCCTAACAGTGTTGGATCAGGACGTCTTGGAGCCCTACAACCCCTACTCAGACAAGCCGGCAAAGAAGGGCAAGAAGCACGATGTGTTCGGCAAGAACCTGAGCCACGTCATCCGTGTCCTAAGAGGGCCGCCGGATAGCTACGTCGAGCTCACCTTCCGGCGCGTCACCAACCGCGGGCTTGCTGTGCCTGTGACTGTCTGCATCCAGCGCGGAGAACCGGCAACCACACGAGACGTCGACAACTATCGTGTGAAGCGACTGAGCGCTGAGCTGCAAGAGAGGTTCAAGGACATCGACGAGGACAACAGCGGCGAGATCTCGTTGGATGAAGTTGTTTCCTACCTCCTTCGAAACCCGTTGCCTGGCCAAGGTGACGTGTGGAAGACCGCCAACTTCCTCTTCAAGAGGGCGGACAAGGATGAGAGTGGGTCCATCAGCGCCGCTGAGTTTGAGAAGGAGTTCAACAAGCTCTATGAGCAGATGGCGTCACAAACAGCTCCTACCGATCTGGAGGAGCAGGCGGAAGTTTCCATCGAAGAAGCTTTCAGCAACTCTCTAGCCTCCATGCGCGAGGATCTGATTCGAGCGATTCATGTGATCAAACGCCCGTACATGATGCAGCTGTGGCAACACATTCGAGACCCGGAGGACGCGTTTCTGATCTCCAGCATGTACCGGTTGGAGGGCTACGACTCCCAGAAGCCAGGCTCTGGCAAGTACATCCTGCACTCGAAGATCTATGATGCCAGTAGCCAGTTCTTCTGGAAATGCTTCTTGCGCATTCATGCTGCGCTGCACACTGCGCAAGCGATCTTGAAGAAGGAGATGGAGCAGGAGTTCATCGACGAGGAGGAAGAGGAAGGAGCCATCATTGAAGTCAGCAAGCTGCTTGTCCTGCCAAGGGTCATCTCCCTCGATGAGCTTTCAAGAGAGCACGAATCGCGCTCCACCATCATGGTGAACGTGAGCCGTTGCCCTGGTCGAGGATACCCGCCGCGGTTGTGGCAGCCGAAAGAGAAAGTTATTGATCTGTTTGCGAGCCAGAAGTTCATCGAGATGCCTTCGCCGTTCATAGGCCGAACAGAGTCAGTCTATCACGTGATCGAGTCTCTAACTCTCAAGAGGCTCAACACCATCATCGGTGAGACCGGGTTCGGCAAGAGCTACACCCTCCGTGCCGTCTTGCACACCCTGCAGGTGCGAGCAGAGGAGTCTCCGACGGGAAGGTACATGTACAAGGACGGAGTCTTCCTCGTCGACTGCATAGACATCCGATCCTTCGAGCGCCTGGCTTACGTTCTTGGGACGTCGTTCGGGCTGCTGAGCGTGTCGGTCAAGGAGATCATTCGGGACATTCATGGCGCAAATTTCCTGCTGGCGCTGGATGGAGTCGACGGGCTGCTGGACATCGGGCTGAGCGAGATGCGCACCTTCATAACAGACCTGCTGGAGGGATGCCCGGGGATGAGCATGATTATGACGTGCAACAGCGCGTGCGGCATCCCCTACGAGAACATCATCGGCCTCACCATGCTGAACCACAACGAGCTCGCGCAGCTCGTGTGCTACGACTTCCCCCCGGGCAAGGACTACCGCTTCACGTCGTCGGAGGTCGTCTGCGACTACCTCAACGGCAACCCCTTCGCTGCAAGGCTGGCGGCGTCGCTGATCTCGGAGAAGATCAGCCCGGCCGAGATGCAGGACGTGATCTCAACCCTCAAGGACATCGACGTCAGGAACACACGGGCCAGCCTCATCGACGCGGACCCCTGGGCTGACGGCACGCGGGTGATCCTCAACTTGGACGGCTCGGTCTACGGCTCTTCCTTGTGCCTGTGTGCCTGGATGAAGATGGCGCTGGGCCACACCACGACTCACTTCGAACGTGCCTACAACTTCGTGCGGTTCCTTGTGTTCTTCCCGGGAGGCGTGCTGTACCGGGACGTGACGGCGCTGGTGCACGAGGCCGAGAAAGTTCTCGATTGGCTGATCAACTCGTTCAAGTTCGTGGATGTCTTGAATCTCGACGGGACCACCTGCTCCCTGAAGGAAGCGATCGCGAGCAAGAGCGCGGTCCTCAAGCTGAGGACGAGCGTGGCCAAGGTGGTGAATATCATGAACGAGCCGTTCCCAAAGGAGAGCAGGCGGTACCTCAAGCTCATGTTTCCGCTGCTCGAGCGCCATGCGGAGGATGTGCTCCAGAGCATTGAGCACAACGACAGCGCCACTGCCGTGATGATGCTCTCGATGATCGAGTCCAACATCCTCTCCTGCACAGACGCGGAGGTGATGCTGCGCGCTGACATCTGCGGCACAGACACGGAGATGATCGAGAGCATCGGGAAGGTTTCTTACACCCTTGCAATCATCCTGATGTCTTTCAACCGCCTGCCGGAGGCCCTTGACGCCTGTGCAACTGCCTGCTTCTTCTTCAAGACCGTCTGCGAGTACGAGATCACCGGCCCGTCGATCGCTCAGAGGCGCCTGGATGACCATCCCGTCAAGGGTCCAGCTAGCCTCGCCCGTGGCCTCCGTCTGTCAGGCGAGATCAAGCTCATGGTTGGTGCTCTTGACTCGGCGATGGAGGACCTGAAGAACGGCTACTTGCTGGAGTGCCCCAAGAAGTTGTCGGTGATCGCCTTCAGTCACCTCGGCTCGCCCATCGGGCAGGGAGACTGCCTGACGGCGCTCGGGGAGATCGAGTTGCTCACAGGAGATTTCCCGGCGAGCAGCGAGTACCTCAAGCACGGGCTCAAGGCGTACCGCGAGGTCAACAGCGAGGAGGGGATCTCTGTGCTCAAGGTGCTGGCAAGCCAGCTGAAGGCAGCAACCGGCGACATGCTCGGAGCGTTCAGCACCATCAACTTCAGCATCCAGAAGTTCCGAGAGGGCGAGAGCGCGTGGCGGCTCGCCAGCGCTCTCTGCAACCGATCGGAGTACGCACTGTCGATATCGAACCTTGCTCGAGCACGAGAAGACATTCAAGAGGCCCTCACTATCTTCCTCATCAGGAACGACCTCGTTGGTGTGGCGCTCGCCAAGAAGCTGCTGGGGGAGTGCTGCTACAATCTTACCGAGTACCCAGCTGCTATCCGACACCTAAGCGAGGCCAAGACCTTCGCTCACATGGCACACTCGGACTTCCTGGAGGGCGAGAGCGAGCGATGCATGGGCCTCGTCACCTCGACTCACATCTTCATGGGCGAGGGCAGGCCGAGGTACGCGCATGCGATCAAGCACATGAACAACGCGCTCGCCATCTTCGGGAGGATCCACTACTTGGTGGGGGAGGGAAACTGCTACAGGAGCCTCGCAGCGATCTACAAGAAGCTCAAGCACAAGCATCATCGCATTGAGTCCCTCAACCTCGCGCTCAAGGCCTACCAGCGCGTCGGACACAGGCTGGGCATCGCGATCGTCGACAGTGAGCTTGCGAGGATCTACGAGAAGATGGGCAAGTTGGAGGAGGCCAACACCAAAGTCCAGGAGGCGCTTCCTGCCCTGCAGGCGAGTAGTGAGGGAGGACGGGAGAAGGTTGACGACGAGTTGGCAGGAGGTGGGCAAGAGATATCGAGTCATCTCCAAGTCAGGGTTGCTGATGGTGGAGGGAAACGACAGGAACAAGGACTCACAGAAACCCAAGACCTCCCTGGAAGAAGACGATTACTGGAAGAAAAAGTAGCTAAGTCTTGTCCTTGTGCTTCTGCTAACCCCGCTGATCCTACTTCTTCCTGCCACTCTCTCCTTAACCCCCCCCCATGTCTTTCCTTCCATGATCCACTCCTCCTTTTCATCCTCCTCCCCTCCTCAACCTCTTCCTCCCCTCTCACTCCTCCCCCTCCCCCTCCAACCCCTTTCCGCCTCCTCCGTAAACCTACTAATCACGAGCATACAGGATGCCAGAAATCGACTTCAAGGCAGCTGGCGAGGCTTCTGCTGCAGACCTTATCCGAAAGGTCCTGGGCCATTACGCCATGGACGACGTGCAGGGCACAGCCGGCATCAAGAGGCAAGTGCTAGTGGGCCATACCGGCGTCAGCTTCCTCGGTTCGTCGCGCCGCGCGTGTCTGCTGCGCTTGACCATGGATGCAGATGTACCGCACGTGTGGGTTGAAGGAGAGGGATGGAAATACTGCGATGACAAGGAGCACGATGCGTTCGAAGAGGTGAGAAGTGGGAGAAGAGAGAGGAGAGTGGGGGAAGGAGGAGGAAGGGAAGAGGGGGATGGAGGAGGAGGAGGAGGAAGGGAAGGAGAGAAGAGAGGAGGGGAAGGAGGTGGAGGAGAGAAGAGAGGATGGAGTGGAGGTGGAGGGAGCGGAGGGAGGAGACGGAGGGGCATGGGGAGCTGACCCGCTGCAAGATTCACTGGTACAGCACGGACGTGAAGGGCAAGAGGGTGAGCTTTGTCTTGCCTTCTTGGGAGCGAAGGCTGATGAGGTGCAGATGGCGGCAGAGGAGTCGAAGAAAAGCAAGAAGAATGTACTCGCACGCTCTCTTCCTATCGCAAACTCCCCAATCCCCCTTCTTCTTGGTCTTGGTCTTGCTCCTCAGCCTCCGGAGACATCTACTCTGCCTTCTCCTCATTCCTCCGCCAATCGATCCCCTCCCTTCTCCTCCTCACCATCACCAAAGAGCTTCCTGCTGCTTGTGATTTCTCATCTTCAGGCAAATGCCATGCTGCGGGCGCTGGGGCTGCATGACGAGAAGGACTTGACCAAGGTCTGCCCCTCCCCTCCCCTTGTCCTCCTCAACTGCTCCAGCTCCGGGACCAAGCTGTTCGTGTCTTCCGGCAGTTCGACGACGACAACAGCGGCAAGGTGATGGAAGACATCGCTGCCTCCCATCCCTCCACTCCTCCTCCTCTCTCTGTCCTCCGTTCCCCTTCCCTCCTCCCCTCTCCCTCCCTCTAATGTTCTTCCTCCTCCCGTCTCTGACAAGACTCATAGCTCACCGCCTCGGAGATCAAGGAAGCGTTTGAGAACCTGGGCATGAGGTCCTCGCGTGCGGCTCTCAGCTCATCCTCACCCTCTCACAGCATCTCGCTCAAGGAGGTTCGCGCCATGATCGACATGATCGGTAGACATACTTAGCGCTCTCCCGCAAGCTCATCCCCCCGCAGACGACAACGGCGACGGCATGGTGGACGAAGAGGAGTTCTGCACTCTGGTAAGGTTGGGGAGGAGGAGGGTAGCGGGCTCACCTGCTGCAGGTGTTCAAGTCCATCAGAGAGTGGAGGGACGCGGAAGATGATGAAGAGAAGCTCGAGGAAGTGGATAAGTATGCTGCTCCTCCCCCTTCACCTCTGCGCCAACTCCTTGGCCCTGCCTGTCCTCTTCTGTCCTGCCTTCCTGCCTGCCTGCCGGCCGGCCGGCCGGCCTCGCTCGTCTGACAAACTCTTTACAGTGACGTCAAGATGCTGAACAAGAGACGCGGCAAAGTCGTGAAGTCGCAGGAGATAGAAGGAGCAGAGTAACCCCCGCTTCGCCTCCTTTCCTTTTACGTGACGGCTCTGTGTGCAGCCTGGCCCAAGAAGACAGTCCCAGCGGCGCGTCTAGGATGAGCGGAAAGGAGGAAGGTGGCGGGCTCTCGGAGGAGGAGGACGAGGCTCTGGCCGTCGTCTGAGGGATAGAAGGATAACGGACTGGTATGAGAACTTTCAGACTAGTTGAGGAATCGCATAGCCGCGTGTAGTAGGTTTGCAGTGAATGCAGTAACATGACTGTCGACCAAGTTCCTCGTCTCAGTCACGGCGTATTTACGTGCCGCAGTGCAGCACTGAGCACTGCGACCCAGCCGAGCGAGACCCGGACTCGGGGCGCATGCCAGTGACCGATCGGACCGCCGGCCGGACTCCGGACTGAGTCCGCCGCCGCTCAATGGACCTCTTCCCCTCATCGACCCTTCACCCCGCGCCACCTGCCCGCGCCAGCCCGCAGCCAGCCCGCCCCAGAGCCTGCCCTCAAACTCGCAATGGTTTCGAAATCGACGCTGCGCTTGTCCCTGCGCTGGAGTAGGGCATGATAGGCGGCGAAGAAGGAGAAGAGGGATCATGAACCGATCTCTCGATCGCAAGAAATGCATCCTTTTGCTCGCTCTGTATGTGATTTGTCTCAATGCTCCAGCAGCAAGCATTGAGCGAGGTAAGGTAGACGCATACGCGGCTTCAGTCCATGCCCTCAGAGAGAGGCTGAAGAAGAGAGCCCCCACGGACGAGAACAATGATCAGAACCTTCTGGAGCTCCAGAACTTGTTGGCGACAGCTGAAAATTCGATCAGGGACAAGAAAACAGATGCCAAGAAGCAAATGGAAGAACTTCGTAAGCGGGAAGCAGGATTACATCGAAGTCAAGTCCTCTGGCGCAGCAAAGCCAAGGAAGCAGAGAGAAACGCTGAGATGGCGCGCAAGAAGGAGGCCGAGGCGGTGAAAGCGAAGGATCTGGCACAGGTTTCATCCCAAGAAGCATACAGCCTCGAGGTTGCCTCAAAACAGTGCGAGGAGGAAACCCGATGTTTGAAATCAAGTGTCTCTCAACTGATGGAAGAGACTAAGGACGCAGAAATCGAGCTGAGTGAGCTGAAGAGCCAGATCAAGGATCTTTCATTATCCAGTAGGCTTGCTATTGCTCGTCAAGTCAAGGCGAGGCCAGCTGAGGGGTTGAGAAGATTTGCCGGTCAACGGTATGAGGCGGAGATCATGAACGCGGACGTGGCAGACAAGAACAGTAGGACAATCCCACTAGAAGGTGACGACAGGACAAAGTTAAGAGATGCCAGCAGACAAACAGCGGAGGAGATCGGAGGAAGAACTGAGAGTGGGCCCAGCGCTATCCGGAGGAGGCTCGATCCGAAGGATTCCGATCTTCCTCCCTTGGATGGCCTGAGGGATGAATCGGAGCCCGAGCAAGCTGAGACTGCAAATCAAGATACGTTTCAGTCAAGGTCATTGGCGGAGATGATTGAGGACGGGGCTGAAGCTGCATCAAAGGATGGAAACGGTGAGCATGTCGCGAGTGCAAAGCGTCAGTCCAAGCGAACCAAACAAGGCACCTTGGTTCAATCCGTTGATGCCAGCACAGAGGCTCCTGAAAGGGCCAGTAGCGTCTCCAAGGGCCACTCAAAGAGCAAGGAGAAGGATCATGAGGTACTCCTTCAGTCTCGGCACTGCCTGTCCTGATCCTTGACGATATACAGTTGAGGTGTACCCCGACTGCTGCAAACTTCCACGAAGACCGTCAGAGCCCGGATCAAAACCTTGCTGGTAGTCACTGCCACTGTCTGATGCCAGATGTCTCTTACACGGATGAGATGCAGATGGAGACAATGACAAGATAACCCGTAAGTCTTCGTCCAAAGAGAGCAAGCACAGTGAAGGTAGATGAAGCCTTTCCTTGTCGTTCCCCTCATCTCGACCCCGCGGCAGGCAAGAAGAAGAAGGAAAAGAAGAAGAAGAAGCCGGTTGCTTTGTAATTTATTTTGAAAAGTATGTGATTCTTTGTGCCAACTATCATGCTTGCTATAGTCACACTTTTGGGTCACTCACTGATACTGCTAAATTACAAGAGGAGCTGATCAAAGATTACTTGCAAAGCAATCTTCATGTTGTAGCTGAAACCTGCTTGAGACTTGGAAGACAAGTCTGTCCTATGATTCGTTGACCTTCTTGATTCGTCCTGTGAACGGCATGCCGCTACGGAAGCCAGTCTTAAACCGAGCGAACACTTTTTTCATGTGGCGGCGTCTTCCCATGCCTTCAGGATTCTTCTTGAGGGTGTAGCGCTTCATCTTCTGAGAGCTATGGCGACTTTTACGCGGATAGCTCATGTGATACTTGTACCCGGGATGAGACTTCGCTCCTGTCCCATGCTTTCCCTGCGAGGCAGTTCCCTTCTTGCCTCCTGATAGGCGCAGGACAGATGGCATATGGTCCACAAGAGTGGCATGATGGGCTGAAGATTGAAGAAATGAAGTGATCAGTGACTTTCGGTTGCTGGAACATACGATGAGTTGACTTGGGAGGCTTTTCTCGTCAGATGCTGATGCGACCTGAATACTGCTTGCAACAAGAGAAACCAAGACCAACAGCATGTTGGGGATCATGTTTGCCATGACGGAGGATCTAGCCAGAGAGAAAGAGCAAAGAGAGTCGGGGGCCGAAGGATGGCTCGAAGAAATCAGAACAGGACGGCGCTGGGACTGAGCTTGAACCTGCTGCGCAGGGTGTGCATGAGCGGCCGGGAGGGGAAACGGTGGGATGGCCTAGGGGTGGGGGTGGTAGGATTCGACGTAGACGGGAGGGGTGTTTCCTACTAGAAACCTGGGTAGGGGTAGTTAGTTGAGAAAGTTTGAAAGTTCTACCAGAGGAAGATCAATTCCAAAGTTTTCAAACGAAGTTCATTGAGAAGTTTGGAAGTTTGGATCAATTACCCCTACCCTCCAATTAACAGAGAAAATAACCGGTGTGAAAATTCAATTTGAATCCGACCATGGCCGATGGGTACCCGACGGGATCCCGGGGTGGTGACGATGGCAGAAGATGCGAGAAGAGTGAGAGAAGAAGAGACGAAGAAAGAAGATTTGGGTATACGTAGACAGACAGAGCATGACCAGCATGGAAAAGTGTGGAGGAAGGATCAGGAGGAGAGATGGCAATCTAGACTTGGGCGACGAAGGGGTTGTGGAGCGAAAGAAGGATTCCACGGCGAGCATGAAGGAAGGGATGAAAATGATTATAGACATGGAAGAGGAATAGAACGATCCTATGCTCAAGCAATGAACAATCAGGAGTGATAAAGCATTTAGTCATCTATAAATACAAAGATTTCTCCACATTGAATTTTGTTGAACCGCAGTCTGACTCCTGCTTGAATTAGTTCAAACAAAGTTTATGACATTTTAATTCTTGGGGCATCCGAAACTTTCTGGTAAGGGGCTTCTACCGTTTGAACCTTTCCATGATGTACGAACTCACACCAGAATGAGCGGCGCCGTTCCCTCCACCCCGATGACACAGACTCGTCAAACTCGTTCCTCGCGTACCCACACAGGTGAACTTCATGACAGTGAATGATCCTTCTAATACCCTGGAATCAGATGAATTCGACAAAGAAAATCTTCCGCCTCCCTTCGCCACTCCGATCGGCAAGCCAGTTCCTGCATCTGCAACCCCTGTGCATCCTGGAAGCCATGCTTGCTCAGGCACTCGCACCTTGCTGTTTGATTGCTATTTCAGTGTTGTGAACCAAGATACAGAAACTCCATCTAACAAACCCACATTCACCCCGAGCTCCAAGACAGGAGAGGCCCCCAAGACCTTAGACCAGGTGATTGCTTTTCTCATTGATTGCGATGGGCTCACCGGATGTTGCAGTGGGACAAGATACTTCGGAGTTTGCCCATGTCGACAGCAGCTGACAGGGTGAAGTTGTCTTGTCAGGTACAGAGGCAAGTCATGTTGCTCATTCTTTTTGGTTGACAGGCGAGACTCGAGCGTCTCTTCGAACGAGTTCTGGGGTCCGGCAGCGGCACGGAGGAGCTTGAGATTTCTTCTCATAAAGACAACGAGGTCTGGCGCTGTGCTTGCAATACGATGAGGGATTGAGGATGTGTTGATGCAGACCTACATCTCTCTTTGGCTCTACCGGATAACTCTTGACCCGGATGAGGGATTGTCGTACACGAAGTTTATGCGAAAATGGCACATTGGAAGAAAATGTGCTGCTGTCTATATCCAGCAGGCACTCTCATCATCTTGTTGTATAATGGTTCGAGAGTTGATGGATACACCAGGGACTTCTTTCAGGAGACAAAGCATACAAGCCTATTCAGGTGGAGCACCAACCCCACTGCTTTGACCTGAGATCATGCATTTCTGTGCAGGAGGGGAAAGAGAATGGTGCCCAACCTGTGTCTGTCCTCGATGACCTGCTCAAATCTGGAGGGTCAGAAAGTTGCTCACCCGATTGATGTTTCTGAAAAGCGTTTGTAGCGATGGGAAGCCCTTTCAAGATGTTTGTCATGAAGTTTTGAAATCTTATCCCGAGGTACACACTAACTCTTTCCGTGAAGACAACTGACATGCTCTACGTTCAGGTCCGGTCGATGCTCTCGTTGGACAAAAAAGTAGAGAGTTCTTCTGGCTAGAGTTTGGCGTGCGATGACTTTTCTCTAGGCATCGGGGTCGACTCAGACTGCTCCGCCTGTGCAAGAGGTTTTCCCCCTGATTGCTTTGGTTCTGCTTCCTGAAATCTTCAAAGCAGCCAAAGGAGGATACCGTTGTGTTCCAGACCAAGGTCACCATACAGACTCCTGGTGTCAATGTGATGATCTTCCACCACAGGCGGACAAGACTCCAAAGGTCGCAAAGAAGGTGATATTTCCCCAGCGCTGTCCTGTCATATCCCTTTGCCGACTCTGAAGTCATGACGAATACATGATGCTCTTTGAATGCTTCAGGCTGCAATTGAGGAGAAAGAGGAGACTGTGGTCTTCAGCAAGGACATGCATGGAAGTGCCTCGAAGGGAACCTCACTTCGAAGTCGGACGGAAACGGAATCCGCGAAGTCGGACGGAAAACCAGAGGAGAAGAAGAGTTCTTCCATCAGACGCGGAGCCTTGCGTTCCGTGAAGAGAACGGGATTGGGAGGTGATTCCCCTCCATCGTTCTCCTGCGCCGGTTTGAATTGCAGCAGCTGGTCCAGCAAGGCGAGTTTGCCCCAACGAGGCTGTCGCTGAGGATGAAGAGGCCACCAAGACAGGTTGGGACTTGTCATGCTGGCAGCATGTCTTCCTGACAGATTTCGTCAGTCGATCCCGTCGAAGTCTCCGAGCGAACAAGGTAGGGCTTCATGATTACGTGCTGCGTGCTGTTCGCCTCGAGATGAATCCTTGCGGCAGTGAGAAAACTTTGGAGCATTCTGCTGAATCAGCAGAGATCCCCCCCTCCTCCAAGGGCATCCAACACCTTGTGACCGCAGCTTCCCCATGGTTGTATGAGCGCCTGACCTCGTTCCCAGCCTCCCATCACAGAGCAGGAAGGAAGAAGTTCCAGTGAAGGGAACAACAGGTTCGTGCCTGTTCCTCTCTCCAGCTCGAGCTGACCTGCGCTCAGCATCTCTTCGGGCACGTCCAACGATTCTGTGAACCGAACTCTGACGCAGGTCTTGCCCGGCTACCTGAACCCTCAACGCATTCACTGTCTCCATAGGAACAAAATCATCTGTCGGACATGCCAACTCAACCGATCGACAATGGTAGGACGGGAGGGGTTTGAACTTGCCTGAGTGGCTGAACTCGTTCTGGGCAGGCAAATGCGGCGGCTCTCCCTCCTTCTCCGGTGCTGCTGCCTCCAAGGGCTTACGAGAGTCCCTGACTGTCATCGACAGATCTCCCGACCCAGCCTCAGCCCAGCATGTTGGGTTCCAGACCGTCGGGTAGGATTGAGAGGGAGGTCGAGGAGGTGATTTTCCGGCCGCTGGCAAGTAGCATGGAGGCCGAGCAGGTAGCTGACGACTCGTGGGAATGGAAGGGCTGGACTCTGACGCGACTGTTTATAGCAGGCAAGAGTGCAAGAGGTGCCCAAGGTTTCTCAACAGGAGCGCGAAGCTGCAGACTCTGACGCCTGCGGTTCCAGGGATACATCTCCGTCAACTCGAAGTTGTACAAGAAGGTAGGCGGGTTGCCCTGCCTCGTGCTTGCTCTTGACGAGAAGAGCAGATTGAAGTGAAGGGGAAGGGAGGAGGAGGGAAAGTGTACAAAGTTCACCTCAAGGACGACCCGAACAGCATCTGGGCCATTAAGAAGATCAAGGTGATGGAGAGGAGGAGGTCGTCGTTCCTCCTGCTGAAATCTCTTCAGCTGGAAGGCGACGAAGAGCTCAGAGTGAGCGTGCAAAACGAGATCGACCTGCTGATCGCCTTGAGGTGGAGCGTGAGGGGAGAGGGGAGAGGGGAGAGGGGAGCGAGAGACAAGGACAGTGAAGGGGAGTTGTGTTGTCAGGAATGTGATGGTGATGACGGTGACAGGGGGCAGCCTTCCATCATTCACATGGAAGATTATGAGATCGGAGATGACTTGGTTTACATGGTGATGGAATGTGGAGAGCAGGTGAAGCTGTCGGAGGAGTTGGAATGTTGTCACTGACATGCGGCAGGATCTTGCCCAAGCTCTGCACAAGAGACAAGTCAGCCATCCACCACTAGCTCCTCTTCCTCTTCGTTCTTCTTCCCCTCCATCTTCCAACTCCTCATCCGACTTCTGCTTCTCCTCCCTCCCCGCACCTTATCTTCCCTTCAGCCCCTTCCTTCACGCACCCCCTGATGATTTTCGTCTCAACCTCCTGACTGCCATCCCCTGCAGGTCCGCTCGCTCCGAGGGGTTTGGAAGGCGATGCTCGAGGCCGTGCAGGTAGCGCCGCGTCTTCTCCTCCCCTCGAGCCCCGACCCTCTCGCCAGGTCGTTCACGAGCAGCGAGTGGTGCACGGAGACCTGAAGCCAGCCAACTTCCTCATGGTGAACAAGGAGCTCAAGGTGCCCTCTCCTTCTCTCCACTTCCCTCCTTTT